GCTTTTGCACCTGAAGCAAGTTGAGGGGGACACAAACTTATTTTCAGCTAGATCTGCTCTGCTGAGAGCTCCCTACTACATGTCAGTCTTTATTAAAGGTCGATCTGTTCTGTGCTCTCTTCATGAGTAAAAGGCATCCTCCACTGTAAATTCTAACCCTGCCGCAGAGAAAAAGGTAGCATGCTCCTCCTTCCCCATCACCCAGGCTTCATAAAGATAACTTGCTTGTCTATATAATTCTCTGCAGTTTTTCTGAAGGGAGCCTTTAGGACAGAAAGACTGAACAGAGACATTTCTATAACTTCCTCATTATTTGAGCTGCCAGCATGGCGTTCAGAAAGGATGCAGAACTGCAAGGTTTCAGCTCTGCACAGGCGTTGCACTGCGTAGTAATGGAGAACTACAAAGCAGCAGAGGCACATACTATTATGAAAGCATTTACACAGCTCAGGTTTTGTGAAGGAAGTGTAAGTGAAAGATCATTTGAACCCAGTAGAGATGCCACTTCTTCAGAAGGTACAATAACATCCATAAAAACCTTACTGTTCCCTCTCTCTAGATACACCAACACAAAATAAGACCACATCATTGGTACCTCTACTAATCATCCATCACTGAGTACTCAGCTCACATTAACTGTTTTGGGAACATGCAGTATCCTGACTTTGCCTGGAGCTACTAGCAATTAAAGCTCATTTTTGTCAGCTGAGAAGGAATCGATTGGAACTGATGACTGCATTAATATTTTTCATCATCCCCTGAAGATTTCTATCTAGTGAGCCACCTAAATAATTAATATTAAAATTGATATTGTGAAGCATGCTGAGATGTTGTAATAAATGTATACTAACAGTCTGTTTATGAGGCCACAGTGTAGAAGGATTAAAACCTGATCAATTATGACATGCCTTCATTTTTGAATAGGATCTTGTTTGAAGAAATACAATCTATGCAGAGTATAATTACATGTATTAAGTTACACCGTAATCTGTTCTGCCACTGACTGACTAGTGTTGTTAGATTAAAAACACTGCTAGGAAATGGCTAGCTTATTAATCAAACTGGCTCATTTCCAACAGCTTTCATTTGATCAATCATGCCTCAGATCTATTTTTATAGAAACAGTCAAGCAAACAGAAGAAGTTACTGCAATGGAAAGACAGGAGCACTGCTATATTTTTTTCATGGCTTTAACTAATATGAGTCAGAAATTTAAAGAAGTGTGTAAATATCTTATTTCCAAGTATCGAGGTGGATGAGGAGCACTGTCAAAGCACAACCTATATATGTATATATACACCAGCTATCCTGTTTGCCATGTACCATCCTCCATAGTCAAAAAATCAGCATGAAATACTTTAAGTCTTCTTAAGACCTAGGAAGCTGCATTGTATTAAGCACGTCTCACTGAGCTTGGAGAAGATACATAAAGCTGTCCCTGTACCTCAGAAATAGCTATAGCTAGGTCTTAAGGACTTTAGGTCTTGAGGACTTTAGCTATAGCTAGGTCTTTAAGGACTTAAAGCTATGGAAAAGCCTTGGAGGATTTTCCATGAAGTTTCGTTGTTAGTGAGACTTCTGCCCGACTCTCAAAGGCTTTAATGTTGTATTCCTGTGCCTAGCAAGGAAATGCCCAGCTCCACAGGGGGAGACCACAGACTAAGGTTAAGTGCAGATGCTCACATGTAACCTAGGAGAAGAGTTTAGCACCTCAAAATGGGATCATAAGCAGGCACTGCGTAGCCACCCAAGAAGATGCTAAAAGACAAGGGATGGCTCCTGCTGCTTTCTCAGATGTAGAATCTCATGAGCCACTGAGCCACAGCAACAACCCCCTTCTGAGGATGAACATTTTGTGCCATGGGGCACGGAGGACCGTGTCTCCATTTCCTGTGTAAAAGAGAGCACATTAGCAGTCCTGTTGAACCCAGGGTGATCTGAACAGTGTTAGAAAGGCAAAGGAGAGGATAACTTAATAACATTAACAATTTTTCAGCAATCTTTCTAACAGAGAGTTTCTGTGACCTATTTTGTCTGTAATTAAAATAATATCTAATGAAATTAAATATATAATCTAACAGCTATTAAAAAAATGCTGCCTCAGAAAGAAACATCAAAAGATGTGGTAACCCCAAGCTTTTGGCCTTGGAGGTAGAATACTCATAGGGAGACCCTGGTGAAAACACTCCCCCCATCCCTTCTTGTGAAGCAAGAGCACTGGGCAGATGATCATGGGAAGGTGATGAAGCAAGGCAAGAATCTAAGCAAGAAAATAACTTGATTATGTAAAGTGAAAACCGCTGTGTATAAGACCATAAAGAAGACAGTCCCCTTGTGAAGACAGTCACAGATACACAAGTCCTTTTATGAATATATGATTTTTCTCTTACTGCATCCAAGAGGATTTAGACAGGGAGCCTACCAAGGTGCTTTGGAAACTCACTCAATAGCATATGTGCATATTGACTTGTCTACCAGCTTGAGAAATTGGACCCTGACTGTTCACAGCATGACAGCCTAAGTTGAAAGAAGGTGACACTGTCTTCTGTGTAAAGAATTAGTTAATCCCCATCTGCTGGTGTGCCTACAATTCGAGTTATCTCCTAAAAAGAGATTAAAAGACAGATAGATAATTTAAACACAGAATGTTTCACTCAGGCTAGCAGCTGAAATAATTTTTGCCGTTATGTCTTCTTTGTTTTCCAAACATTTTGAGAATTTGCTTTCTGACCAATGTTCACTAGACATTCATGTTTTATGAAACTCTTAAAGAATATTTACAAAAAGCAGATCTTAAATATGTCACCACCAATGTTTGCATTATGCAGCCTATACCTTGCCAGTCAGGAGTCAATTACATGTCACGCATATTCACTGACAAAGTAGAACACAGCTGAGGGTCCAGAGATAAAGAGAAATACCAACAATTTAAATGGGCATAGTAAGTTTTACAGAAAGACCAATATATTCCATAATTTGAAGATGTCCATTTGATCAGACATCATAAGGCTAATCAGCAAGCAGGAGATCTTTAATGAATACATAGGTGAAGAAGTACCTAGGATGAACATCAGTAAAGTCAGCTAAGGACAACACAGGCTAGACTCCCCAGCAAGACCATGGCCCAACGATGGGCATCTCTTCACTCCATCCCTTCCAGGGACCAACATCAGCTGTTGTTACCCAAGGACATGAGAAACCTTGGTGGCTCCAACACAGGATCATACCAGTAGGGCTGGGCAGGTCATGGGCCAGAGTCGGCTTGTGTCAGCCAGGGACATGCCACTGCTGGCACACATCCATGCAGGCACTCTATTGAGGTCCTTGCAATTTTAGGCACCTCTAATATCAATTAGCATTTTAGCAAGGGCTTTGAAGATTGCATTTCTCAGCTGATGATGATCCTACAGTGGTACTGAGGTGGTTCCTGTTCATTTGTCTGCCTAAACCCCAGTTATCTGATAAAATGTTCCTGGCAAAATTACAAGGAGTGAGCTTTATTCTTTGTGAGCTCAACACATGGCTAAATTTTGCTAAAGACCCTTCCAAACTCCATAGTCCTTAAAGGATTTGAGCTGTCATACCAAATAATTAGTTAATATCTGTGGCCCAATTTGAAGTAATGATGGTAGTTTCACTTTCATTTACTTGAATTGGAGTTTATCCTGAGTACAGGCTACATAAAATGTGAGACACTTCCAAAGATTAACTGGGTTACAAATGATCCCTGCATAATTATTTTTTGTTCAAATGCTTACTGAATTACACATGTATGCCCCATAATAAATTCGATCATTTCAGAAATTTCATCTTCATAGTAAAAGCAACTTGACATAAGGACAGTTCAGATTCCCCAAATGCATCCATTTGTTCACAGAAGAGATTACAGCCTCCCTCTGAGACCTTCCTTCAGCACAGGACGGTTAAAATCTCTCAATTTCCTACAGAGAATGTTTTGTGACAGGAAAATTTGGAAAAATGAAAATGCTCTTATACTATTTTTTCCCTCCCGGAAAATCTAACAGTGGAAGTTGTTAATAGTTGTCTGAGCATCAATACATGGAAATAGTGCCCTTTTGTCCCTCTTTTTTACAAGGCTACTTTCCCACATGAGGTTGATGTATGCTGTTACATGTGTCTATACAGACAACCACTAACTGCCCACAGGAAACTTGGTACATGATAAGAACATCAGGGTGAATGAGACAAGTCACCTATTAACCCTACAATACCACTTTAAACAAAACATTTCAAAATATGAACCTAGGCTTGTCTCCAGTTACGTTGAGGGAAAAGTCACTTTACCTCTCTCTGCCTCTACATTTCTGTCACCCTGGGTCTCACAATATCACTAAGGTTCAGCCTTCTACTGGCATCATCAGGACTCTCTCTCTGTGGGAGTAGGACAAAACTCTATTAATACACTTGTTTGGCATCTGACTACCCTGTGATGAACTTCCTGAAGTACAATGGCATGGAGGGTTAATGTCCAAATCTGGGGGATCTTGTTTCAGAGGAATCCTTATTCCTTCACCTTCCTTTATGTCTCTTCCTCACCCATGGTCATGGGTATCTGAGTCCCCATGGGCAGAGTCTCACATAGAGAGGTTCAAAATGGAGATGGAGGCAGGCTCCTGGCAATACTGGTGCAGTCTGCAGGAAGCTTAATGGACGCATGGAAGGAGGGTGGGAATCAGAAGGCTTCTTGCCTACAAGATGGGCAACTCAGAGGCACCCCAGCAGTGGGGCTAACGGGCAGGAGGGAACGTGGTGAGAGGATATGGATTGGTTTTGTGAAATCCTCCTTGTGCCCACTGTTATCCAACACATGTGATGTGGGGATGCTCTGCAATTTGATCACCACTGCTACATAGTCTGTGTTTCAAATGTCCTTAAACTGACAAGTATGTCTACTGAATGTTGCCTGAGGGTAGCTCTCTTGCTTCGCTTGTAACACCAATCTGATATCAAGACAGGAAAAGAAATAAATTTAAACTTACAATTAAGCAGGTAACAGCTCCTCCAGATTGTTGTTCAAGTGGGAAAAATAGATAGACGGGATGCTCCAGGCTGGACCAGGTTTCCCCCTCAGTGCTGCAGGGTAGGGCTCGTGCCCAGCAGTGACAGTGTGTCCGCTGCAGGAGAGGGGCACATCCTGGCCTCCTGACCCGTGAGGGGGTGAGCCTCCAGGGCAGCCAGGTTTCGGCATTCAAACATGTGCGGAGGAGCACAAAGAAGCCCTTTATGCCACTGCAATTGCAACATTAGATTTCAGTTTTATTCCCAAACAAGAGACGAGCTCTCAGTCATAGACAGGCTTTTTAATCAGCCCTGGCAAAGATGAAAAGACTGAGAAAGAGAGTCAGTGTCTGTGCAAGAAGGACTCATTTACATTAAATAATTATCCTGAAGGAGAGAAACAGCAAGGGAGTGATTTTTTAATTATAAAGAAATAATTGCAGTCTGGAGGAGTATATAGAGTCCTAGCTTTGTTCCCAGTAAGTTATCTATTTCCAGTAAAACCCAAACAGTATGTTTGAGAGGTAAGAAATATCTGGGTTTTATTATTTTAAAAACAGGGTATCATATGAGAAGGAAGACAGGGAAATACTTCTGCACTCCCAAAATTGCTTTTATAATGTGTGCTCTGCACAGCAGGACATAAAATCGGTATCACAAACATCTATGCTAAAAATACAAGAGCTGACATACAAACACATTCTGTAATAGGTTAGGAATGACTCTGTCGATGAATGTGTGTGTGTGTATGAGAGAGAGAGATACAGTGTTGTCATACAAGCATATCTGTCTGCTACACAGCCTGCTTGTGCAACCTGGTAGATGCTTTTGCTTCTTTGATATTGCTTATTTAAGTAAAAAAGAGAAAGGATTTGACTCCATTAAAAATGGAGTAAAATTTCCCCATTAAAAATTACTTTTGAGCTGAGATGAAGAATAATAGTACCAAGTCCCCGTATTAGGAACTTTTTTTAAATTCTGAGGAGTTTACAATAGTGACTGCAATCTGTACTGTGCTTATGGGACTAATTGCTTGGATGGAGCTGAAACCCTGAGCCTACTGGCACCTAGCACAAGAGCATGGTTTTTGGGAATGTGAGCATGCCACTGCAGGCTCTATTGTTTCCACTGAGGAAAGTGCCAAATCCTGGGAAATCCTGCACGTTCCTGCTGCAGAATCAGGCAGCGCTCAGCAGCTCACAACTGGTCCTCAGCACAGGACAGTAAACACACTTCAGCTTTACATGGGTAGCTCATTGTCTGACCAGTCTGGGTGATGACCCACAGTACGTATAGTATCAGTGTGAAGACAGGCAGTAGGGGAGAGGAAGCTCCTGTGCTCACTGCTGACCTAAGAAATCCCTCACCAGCGCATCCCCGGGCATGGCACATGCCTCAGGGACACCAGTGGAGACCTATGGGCAGAGCAGCCTGCAGCACCCATGGGTGCCTTGCTTTCCCATGCCTGGCTCCTGTCCCTGGGGTGTAAAAGTTACAAGTGTGCTGTATTTCTGCTCTGAGTTGGTCTACCTCCAGCCTTCATCCACCACATATTACTGTGCCTTCTCTTCCTTGATTAAAGACCAGCTTGGTAATTACCTCCAGCAATGTCAACAGCTTAAAATTTTTGAAGAATATTTCACTTTGAAAAAAGAGAGGAGTGGTAGGGATGGGAGAATACATCAGAAGGGAGAGGCTGGAGAGAAAGAAATGGCAGTGGTTGCTGTCACTGGGACACAGGAGGGAAGGGCTCCCAGACTCAGGAAAAGGGACAAATCAACAATGCTGGCTTTCCACCTAGGAACATATAGCAGCTGCTGCTTTGCATCTCAGCTTTGCCCTGTCACCAAAACCAAGTGATGGCATGGTTTATAGGAGAGCCAAGGCACAGCTGGAGCTCAACCTGGCTACAGCTGTTAAAGATAATAAAAAATGTTTCTATAAATTCATTAACAACAAAAGGAGGATTAGGGAAAATCTCCCTCATTTACTGTATGCAGAGGGAAACATGGTAAGTAAGGATGAGGAAAAGGCTGAGGTGCTCAATGCCAACTTTGCCTCAGCCTTTAGCAGTGGAACTGGCTGTTCCCTGCACACCCAGCCTCATGAGCTGGGAGATGGGGAGGGGAAGCAGATTGAGGTCAGCACAGTGGAAGAGGAGGTGGTCAGAGACCTGCTGCACCACTTGGATGCACACAAGTCTGTGGGACCGGAGGGGTTACACCCAAGGGTGCTGAAAGAGTTGGCAGATGTGCTCGCCAAGCCGCTGTCCATGATTGACCTGAAGTCATGGCTAACTGGGGAGGTGCCATTGGACTGGAGGGTGGCAAATGTGACACCCATCTACAAGAGAGGCAGAAAGGATGATCCAGGAAACTACAGACCTGTCAGTCTGACCTCGGTGCCAGGGAAGGTCATGGAGCAGGTCATCTTGAGTGCTATTAAAAGTCATATAATGGACAACCAGGGGGTCAGGCGTAGTCAACATGGGTTTATGCAAGGCAGGTCCTGCATGACAAACCTGATCTCCTTCTATGACAGGATGATCTGACTATCGGATGACGGAAAAGCTGTGGATATTGTCTACCTGGATGTTTGAAAAACATTCGACACAGTTCCCCATAGAATTCTCATAGAAAAACTGGCTGATCACAGCCTGGATGTGTGCACAGTCTGCTGGGTCAAGCACTGGCTGGATGGACGGTCCCAGAGAGTGGTGGTCAGTGGGGTTAAATCCAGCTGGTGGCCGGTCACAAGTGGTGTTCCTCAGGGCTTAGTGCTGGGACCCTTTCTTAACATCATTATTGATGATCTTGATAAGGACATAGAGTGTATCATCAGTAAGTTCACAGAGGACACCAAGTTAAGCAGGAGTGTCGACCTGCATGAGGATAGGGAGGCTCTACAGAGAGACTTGGATAGGTTGGATTGGATTGGTGGGCCAACGTTAACGGGATGAGCTTCAACAAGGCCCAGTGCCAGGTCCTGCACTTGGGCCACAACGTCCCCCTGCATGGCTACAGGCTTGGGGAGGTGTGGCTGGAGAGCTGTCTGGGAGAGAAGGATTTGGGGGTTCTAACTGACAAGCAGCTGAACATGAGCCGGCAGTGTGCCCAGGTGGCCAAGAAAGCCAACGGCATCCTGGCTTGTATTAGAAATAGTGTGACCAGCAGAAGTAGGGAGGTGATAGTGCCCCTGTACTCTGCACTGGTGAGGCCACACCTGGAGTATTGTGTCCAGTTTTGGGCACCTCAATAGAAGAGAGATATCGAGGTGCTGGAGCCAGTGCAGAGGAGGGCAACGAAGCTGGTGAAGGGCCTGGAGAACAGGTCCTATGAGGAGCAATTGAAGGAGCTGGGACTGTTCAGTTTGAGGAAGAGAAGGCTGAGGGGAGACCTCATCACTCTCCACAGCTACCTGAAAGGACACTGTAGAGAGGTTGGTGCTGGTCTCTTCTCACAGGGAATTAGTGACAGAACAAGAGGGAACAGGTTTAAGCTGAAACAGGGCAGGTTTAGACTGGACAGTAGGAAAAAAATTTTCACAGACAGAGTGGTCAGACAGTGGAATAGGCTGCCCAGGGAGGTGGTGGGGTCACCATCCCTGGATGTGTTTAAGGGTCATTTAGATGAGATGCTGGGGGATACGGTGTAGGGGAGAACTTTGTAGAGTAGGGCTGATGGTTGGACTCGATGATCCCAAGGGTCTTTTCCAACATGAATGATTCTGTGATTCTGTGACTTATTTTTTACACTTGGTAAAAATTCTGAAATACTGGTTTCTCCTTTTAAGCGAAAGCAGGCTACAATCTGTCAGATAGATATCTCTCCCTGCAGTGATCAAAATGGCTGTTGTGGAGTTACAGCAAATGTAATCAATGCGTAGCTTTTTTGTTGCATAATTGGCAGAAGAATATATAGACACAGCTATACAAATATATAGAATATTTATAGCATAAAAAGAACTACATTAATTCCTTCATTAGCCCATTCTGATTTTTTCTTGTTTTCTTGAATTCTCAGTAAACCTCCCTCTCAGGCCCTGCAAGCTACTTCATTGGAAGACTTAAAGGCTTACAATAGCAGGTATACAAATCAGACTGTATACAAAAATCACTGGAACCTGACCGCCAGAAACACCGACTTACATTTACAGCTCTAGAAATAGGATTTAATGTCATAGATTGTGTCAGATAACTGGGAAAGCACAGCAAAAGTTAATGCCCTTAATGCATTAAGCTAATGGGATTCAGTCAAGGGTGAATATGTCTCTCTGGGCTAAGAAAGCACCAAGTCTGCCCACATTTTCTGAATATTCTGCAGCCTGCTGAGTGCTTCTGCTGTAGGCATGAATATGAAAACCAGCGCAGGAGAGGAAACGAAGCAGGGTGCATCTGAGAGAACAGGGGTGAAAAGATGTCAGGGAACACTAAAAATTACCAGTTCTCTTCAGCAGGGAAGAACAAGCTTCCTTCCTATGCCCATTTGGAATCAAATCCAACACCAAGCGGATAATCTTTCTGCCTTGGAAGAACATGATCAGAATGGCATTGTTTACGGTGAAGTAGATTTAAAACAACAAACTTACTGTTTATAAAAAAGGGTGAAAAAATATTTCTCTCAACTTTTTTACACAGATAACTCCCTCCCACTTCCACCTCACCATGGAAGTTAATAGGGAAGTATATTCAAAGAAAATGAAAAGCTGAAGAGTAAAGATAAATACCATTGATTTAATTACATTTCAACCTGAATTCTTAGTATTTCACAGATTCATATAAAAAGAAGGCCCTCCCCTTTAGCCAGGACTTCCAACAAGCTGTTCCTTGGCTTTGTCCCCTTCCTATAAGGAAGGGAAGGGGAAATTTACTTAAAGACAGCAGATAAGGCAGATTCCCAAACACACAGAGCAGTCCAGAGTACAGCCTAGAGTTTCTCCTCCAAACTCCCTGCTTCCAAGGACTGAATTGGCACTTGTTCTCAAACATGCACACATGATTTCTGAGGTCAGCTCTTAAGAGTACAGCTTTTCAGCTGTTTCAGATGCTTATATAGAATTGTGTTTCCTGCGTGGTTTGGCCAACA